TTTCCAGTCTTTGGTGGACTGTGGTATTGATTTAACATAGTTGTTAATTTGTCAGGCTAAAAAGGTTTAGACGAAAAAAAAAAAAAGGGGGATGGAATTGTTAACTCTGTACTTGATGGGTATTTTGGCAGTCCTGCAACCTCTTTTTTGCATGCAATATATTTGTTGGCTTTTTATATAACTGTGCAAGGAATTGGAATTTCTGGTTTTAAGCGATACTGCTCGTGGAGAAGTAACAGTTTTGTGGGAACTTTTGATTCCAGACAGCTGTTCTTTAACCACTGAATAATCAGCTATTCCAAATCCGATTCTTATTGAGTTTGAAATGGGTACTTCCCAGTCTAAAAAATACCCTCGCCCTAATCCAGGGGAGACTTGCAAGCAGTATGTTGCTAGAGTTGATGAACTGGGGGATTATTTAGTGGATCCTTGGGTGGACAATATGTCAGGGTGGACACTAGGACAGGGTAGTGAAACTCCCTTCCCTAAAGGGGAACATTATTGATGATTATTGATGATTATTTTCTGAGTATGGTTAAGGGATTATGTTTGGGAGATAAGAAATCTTTTCCTTGGTATGAGGGAGATTCAGGATGGGACAAAGAATACATGAGACAGGGGGGGTGAGAATTGGCTTAAGATTGCACCTCACTGGTACCCTGTTTCCCAAGAGGGGAAAAGGATAAAAAAGAATAAAAAGAATAAAAAGAAAATTAAAGAAACTGTTGTTGATACCTGCAAATCACTGTCTCCTCCTAATTACACTCCATACTATAGCCCGCTATATCCTAGCCTACCACCTAAAAATTATGATGATTTAGTTCTTGCTGTAGCAGTTGGATCACAAAGAATAGCCACTGCTCCATTAAGTTCCCTTTCTACCTCTCCCCAAAATGAGAAGATTAAACAAATCCAGCGAAGGTCCCCTAAGGGTATCCAGACTAGGTATAAGAAAAAGATGGGGCTGGGTGTTAAAAGAACAGATAAAGATGATGGGGAGGAAGAAGAGGAAGAAGAACTTGATGAATTAGACACACAACAGACATATCCTTTTCTGACTGTTGGAGATCAATTAATTTTGAAACCTTTAACTCCAGGAGAATTGAAGGACATAATTAAAGGAGCTCCAAATCCTAGAACGAATCCTTCTGCATGTATTATGTACTTGAAGAGAATGTGCCAAGGACAAAATATGACACAGATTGACATAAAGTTAATTATTGATGGACTATTAGATTATGACTCAGAATCTGGGTGGGAATGGAGTAGGGTGCCCACTGTCAGTGTTCCACTTGATGGAACCACCAGTGGTGTATCCTGGTTTTGTGCTGCCCTAGGCAGGACAAAACTCAGGCACCCCCCCGCGCCACCCCCACCCGCGCCACCGCCACCCAACCTTCCCCCCTGCTCCGCCTTCTAAATACACACACATTCACTGACAGATACGCATTCACTAGCTAACAGAAACACACAGTCACTAACAGACACACACTCACACACTCACTAACAGACACACACACTCACAGGCAAACACACACACACACTAACAGGCAAACACACACACTAACAGACATCCACACTAACAGACATCCACACTAACAGACATCCACACTAACAGACATACACACACTAACATACATACACTAACATTAACATACACACTCTAACACTAACATACACACACTAACATACACACACTAACACTAACATACACACTAACATACACACACACACTAACATACACACACTAACATACACACACTAACAGACACACACACTAACAGACATCCACACTAACAGACACACACATACTAACATACATACTAACACTAACAGACACACACTAACACTAACACACACTAACACTAACATACACACTAACAGACACACACTAACATACACACACTAACAGACACACTAACATACACACACTAACAGACATCCACACACACACTAACATACACACACACACACTAACATACACACACACACACTAACATACATACACACACTAACATACACACTAACAGACATCCACACACACACTAGCAGACATACACACACTCACTAGTGTTTTTTTATTTTTTATTTAACCCCCCCCAGCCTCCTTACCTTTGGTAATGCTGGGGGGGTTCTTCCTCTCCTTGGGGTCCAGTGGCTGCAGCGCTGGGCGGGCGGCCGCCGAGGGAGCTCTTCCCCTGAGCGCTCTGCTCAGCTCCCTCGCGCGCCGCCAGCAGAGTGAGGCTGGGAGCCGGAATATGACGTCATCAACCCGGCTCCCAGCCTCACTCTGCTGGCGGCGCGCGAGGGAGCTGAGCAGAGCGCTCAGGGGAAGAGCTCCCTCGCCGGCCGCCCGCCCAGCGCTGCAGCCACTGCCGCCCAGCGCCCAGAATGTCTGTTAGCCGCGAGGCTAACGAGACATTTGCCCTGGGCATTTGGGGGGCGGCGTTTTTTGCCGCCCCCTGAAAAATGCCGCCCAAGGCAAATGCCTTGTTTGCCTCGCGGCTAATACGCCCCTGGGAACCACAGTGAGTACTTATCCATTAGCCACTGAAAAAGGGAGAGACTTTATGTGGGATGAAGTGAAAACAGAGATGATGAGATTATGGAAAGACAAGCAGTCTATTTCCACTGCTTTGTCCTGTAAACAGGGCACAAAGGAGACAGTGACAGAATTCACTAAAAGGTTTTATAAATGTTGGAAAGATGAAGCTGGACTTGGTTCAGAGGAAAGTGGTATAAATACAGACTTGCATTGGGAATATGCTTCCAGCATATTCACTGCTAGTTAAACAGCTGATTTCAGAGTGGTCAGCTTTAACTCCAGTTAAATTCTTGCACAGAATACACGAGAGAGAAGCAGCAGGTTGTTTTGCTATAGGTAAAGATGGAAAGAGTATGTTGTATCAGTCACAGGGTTTACAGCATTGTGACCCTAATCGTGCAAGACAGAGAGGTTTTGGAGGTGATAGGAGATTAAACCAAAGAGGATTTAGGAGTCCAGGGGGAAGAGGACGTGGAGGAAATAGGTCCCAACCATTTATTAATAGAAAGACATATTGTTTTAACTGTGGACGGCAGGGACACTGGATGAATGAGTGCCCCAACCCTATCAGACAACAGACTGGACAGGCCCCAGGTTACAGGGGTCGCCCATGGATACCCCAACAGCCCCACTACCCCCCACAGCATCGCTCTCCTGGCCCTAATACTCCCTCTGGCCCTAATACTCCCTCTGGCCCTACCCATCACATTCAATGGCCATAGGGCTGCCCAGAAGGTAACACTCCAGCTTTTCCTGTATTATCCTCTAACTTTATGGAACAACCCTTTATAGTCCTCAATGTGAATGGGAGGGATATGCCCTTTATTGTAGACACGGGTGCTACCTGTTCCACCATATGTATGGATGTATATATAGGTTCAAGGGAAAAGTCGACACCTTCTGTGAGAATAAATGGAGTGTTAACAAAAACCTTCAAAACTATCCCTTTGGAAATTAAATTACCCCACTCCCCTATTTCTCTACGCCACCAGTTTAGCCTAATCCCTGGGTGCCCTGTTAGTCTCCTAGGGAGGGATCTCCTTGGACTACTGGGTACAACTGTGGATTTTTCCCCTGAGGGTGGTATGGCAGTTTCCCTTACTGCCCCATCCTCTGGAATTTTTCTACAGATGGACATGGATGAGGTCCCTGCTTCTGTATGGGCTTCATCCAAGCTAGATGTAGGATACATAAATTGTACCCCTTATAAAGCAAAACTACATCCAAATGTCAGCCCAATTTATATTAAACAGTATCCCCTGTCATAGGAAAAGAAGGATGGGATCAGACCTATGATCCAGTCCTTCCTTCAACAGGGTATACTAAGGCCTGTAGTCTCCCCCTATAACTCCCCTATTAACCCGGTCCCTAAGGCTACCAAGGACTACAGATTTGTTCAAGACCTTAGGGCCATTAATAATTTGATTATTCCAATAGCCCCCATTGTCCCTGATGTTAACACTCTGATAACAGCCATTCCTCATGAAGCTAAGTATTTTACAGTCATTGACTTAAGTAATGCATTTTTCTCGGTCCCTGTTGACCAAGAGACACAACTACTTATGGCTTTCACTTTTGAGGGGGTTCAGTACACCTGGAGTCACCTTCCCCAGGGCTACGTGGACTCACCAGCTGTTTATTCACTGGTGCTCCAACAAACCCTTAAGTCATGGACCCCTAGTCATGGTTCCCTCCTGCTGCAGTATGTTGATGATATACTGCTGTGCAGTCCTGACTGGGAAGCCAGCACACAAGACACTGTCAGCTTATTGAAACATTTAGCACTGGAAGGCCACAACCTAGCCAAGCATAAGATCCAATTGGGTGCAGAGAAGGTTGACTATCTGGGATTTGTGTTACAACAAGGTACACGCTCACTCAGCTCCAAACGTATTGAAGCTCTACAAAAGATACCCAAACCTGTTACAAAGAAGGAGTTGCTCACCTTCTTGGGTATGATCAATTACTGTCGCCAGTGGATACCTGAATGTTCAATGACTCAATTTTGAGAATGGCTGTAAAAGGGGACAGCCCAGATTACATCAGATGGTCACCTGAAATGGATGATGCATATGTGGCACTTAAAGTAGGCATTATGCAGGCCCCAGCTTTAGGACTGCCTAATTATTGTAAACCATTTCATCTTTATGCAAGGGACAACTGTAAAACCATGGCTGCGGTCTGTGCTCAGGAACATGGAGGTGGTATGCGTCCTGTAGCATTTTTCTCCAAAGTAGTCCCTGTTCTGGTTCAGGGGATGCCGGCGTGTCTTAGGGCCCTGGCTGCTTGTGCAATGGCTGTTGAGACTGCTACTGCTATCACTCTGGGCCATCCCACTATTCTCCATACATCACACCAAGTGTTGCATTTGATCAAGAATCTCACTACACAACACATGACAGCACAAAGATTAAGTGGTTATGAAATAATTCTCTTAAATTCTATTAATTTACAGATCAAGTACGGCCCTATTAATTCTGGCCCTATGAGTGTACTGCATGCTATCCTTACTCATGACAACCCTAATCTATGCAAAACTCAGCCAGAAGAACATGACTGTATTCATACTATAAATACACATACCTCCCCACGCTTAGACCTCATGGATACCCCTCAGCCAGGTTCTGATGATGTGTTTGTGGATGGATCTTGTTTCCGACCTGTTGACGGTCAGTACCAGACTGGGTATGCAGTAGTCCAATTACCTGATAAGGTCCTTGAGGCTAGCTCCATACCCCACATGTCAGCCCAAGCTGCTGAGTTGGTTGCCCTTACACGTGCATGCACTCTATTCACTAACAAAGATGTAAATATTTACACTGACTCACGATACGCTCATGGGGTTGTGCATGATTTTGGAATGATTTGGAAACAAAGAGGATTCATTGCAGCTGATGGTAAAGGCATTTCTCATAAGACATTAATTGAAGACCTCTTGCAAGCTTTACAACTTCCTCGTACAGTGTCTATCATCCACTGTAGAGCTCACACTCAAGGTGGGGATGATATATCCCTAGGCAATGCACTAGCAGATAGAATTGCCAAAGAGGTAGCGTCTCGGACCATTTATTATCGTATGATATTTTCAATTTTTAGTCCCCCTACCTGCCCAGAAGAACAGTTGTTGCAAGAACTTCAGGGTTTTGCAACCCATGAAGATATTGCATACTGGAAAAAACAGGGTTTGGAAAAAGACCAAAATGGCCTTTATTCCAAAGAGGGGAAGATAGGGATACCAGAAAGCAGTGCCCCTATTTTTATTTCCCAGGCACTCGGAGTGGGTCACAAGGGTCTTAAGGTCACTTTGGGTCTTATTCAACAACATTTTGTAATCTTGAATCTCTCTCTCCACTGTTAGGTATACTTACAGAGGTGTGTCCAATGCTTACAGACCAATACTACTGTCAGACACAAGTCTAGACATGAACACCTCCCACCACCTACAGGCCCTTTCACCCATTTACAGGTAGATTTCACCCACATCCCCAAGACAAGTAAGCGACAACAATACTTACTGGTGATTGTGGATCACTTCTCAAAATGGCCCGAGGCCTTTGTTACTAATAAGGAGGATGCTAGGACTGTGGTGAAAATACTGACCACTGAAATTATTCCTAGGTATGGCTGCCCATTGCAGATCAATTCTGATAATGGCCCTGCCTTTGCTAGCAAAGTTACACAGGAACTGGCCAAATGGTTACAGGTTACCTGTAAATTTAATGTACCCTACCATCCCCAGAGTTCAGGTATAGTAGAAAGAATGAATAGGACAATTAAGGAAAAACTGATGAAGGCCACAGATGGCACATGGGTTCACTGGCAAACAAACTTACCTGCTATTTTATCTGAAATAAGAATGACCCCTAACAGGACTACTAAATTGTCACTGTTTGAGATACTCATGGGAAGACCATTTCCTACTCCTTGGGTGAAGGGACGATTTGTTATTATGCCTGGTGATTTAGACTTAATCCAGGAAGAGTATGTTAAACAGTTAATTTTTAAACTCAACTCTGTATATGGTGATGTTTCCGTGCAGTTTCCTCTACCCTCACAGGAACCTACACATCCTTACCAGCCTGGTGATCTGGTCTGTATCCGACAGCTGAACAAGAGCAGGAAGGGAAAGTTTCCTTTTGGCCCGCCTACCACTGTGATTGCCGTGACCCGAACCGCTGTGCTCACTGATTCCCAAGATATCTGGATCCATGCATCCCGTCTGAAGCCGTGTCCAAAGAGGGGTGAAGTAGGAGACAAGCTCAAGGTCCTTACTCCAATTGGCACTGACGACCCAACATCCTTATCTGAAGTGCTATGGCTAAAGTAAACCTATTGGATCCCTTGCATGGGGCAAATAATTTTTTCATCATCCTAATTCTCTCCATGATTCTCTTCCTACCGCTGATTGTCCTTCTTGATTGTCACTATGATTATGAGAATATGAGAGAGTTCCAGAAAGTCTGCTTCTGGAAAGATCACAACTCCACCAGTTAAGTGTCCAATTAGGCCTTGATCATCCTACTAATAGAACCAGACACAAAAGATCACTACCCACAGACAAGACTTTGCAAACTCACACCAATTGTTCTTCTAAATCAGTATTTTGGTGGAGCCGTGCCAAAGAGACTAGAACACAAGAGGATTTTATATGTAATGGCGGCGAAACCTGCCTTGTACTCAATATTACAACTAAAGGTCAAATATGCATTGCTGCAAAGACTGCACAAGTAGTGGTCAAACCATTGCATGATGATTCCGTAAATTGCTCTATAACAATTACTAACACTACTGGTTTTTATACTCTTGCTTGGCTATTTGCAGAACCTTATCCTTTCACAAACAAAGGGGTTGGTTCAATATTTTATTATTTGCAAAATACTAATGTTTCCCTAGATCAAGACAATCCAGTTCCCCTTACTTCTATAGCTCCTGATAATGTTCATAGCATGTATAATACCACATGGCCTAGAGGATACGTCCGTATCATATATAATAGGAGTAGAATAGAGAACAGAGGTTGGTTCGCTGTTTTATTATATTGTAGCCCACATACTACACCTACTGTTCATAATTATTCCCATATTCCAATACCCTCATCATGTGTAAACACTACTATAATTCAGAAGGCTGTACACATAACACTAAATATATCTACACCTGATGTACGATTATGTAATCCACTACCTAATAGAGAGAAGAGAGAATGGTATGATACCATCTTAGGGGGTACAGGAACAGCTATGGGAATATTAAATGGTGTAGACATGGAAATACTAAAGAATAAGTTATCCACGGCAGGGAAAGAATTAGGGATAGGATTTCATGTAATGGCTAAATGGGCCCCTACCATGGTACAATCACAATGGAAGGAATTACAACTAGAACAATCTATGTACACCTATCTGGGTAATCTAACATATGCTATTATTAACCTAACAAAAGGAAGCACTGACTGGACCTTATGTGCCACTAGAGTTTTATGGATGCATCAACAGAGGTTAAGACTAGAGAATACTCTTATGGTTCCTAAAATACAGAAAGTCAGAGAAATGATGGAATTGACTGACAACTACTGGATTAGTTTAAGGTCAAATGATGTATATTGTGAAGAATGGGTAGAAGACGAGATATCGAGTTATTCATGTAGGGTTGGATTTACTTTATATGAAGTTGCTCCAACCCATATAAAACTAGCATGTAAGTTCTTCACTTTACCTACACCTATGTTTAATATACTTAATGATAATCTTACTTGGTGGAATCCAACTTTTACAGGAGAATATATATTCCCCAAGGATAATAAAATATATTCATTAGAACACTGTGACAAGGCAGATAAAGGTTATACATGTAGACATTCCTCACCCATCTATGAACCATGCTTATTAGCTAATCAAATAAGTAGTTGTACTTGGCATGTATATCCATCGGATTATTCAGTTATGTTAGAAATAGAACCACAAATAGTGTGCCTAGCTACCAAACAACCTGTCAATATTCCCGAAGTTGATAAACATTTACCCTTTGTAGGATGTATATCAAATGCAACCTGGATAAAATGGAAAGATCATACTTATTTCCTGCAACCTATTCCTAGTATATACAGATCCAAAATATATATTCCACCCTCGTTACCTATCGTTGATTATCAACTTCCTACAGGAATAATAATTAATTTACTAAGAGGAAAAGGAGATATGTTTAAACATTTGAAAGCACATAAAGATGCCTTAGTACATACTGAAATATCCACCCACATAGTTGAAAGGGAATTAATTAAAGTTAGTTCTAAAATCCAGGAAAAGTTTGCTCATCATTGGTATGATGCTCTCACAGGTTGGTCCCCTACTGGCGCACAAGTTGTAAGGTCCTTTTTCTACCCTTTTTTCATCATTGTGATAATACTTGCAATAATGATATTGTTTTATTGTTATCTAACTTGCACACTTAAGAACCGTGTACAACAGATGATTACAGAAGGTGAAAATCGACAGCTCGATCTCCTCTTAATGGGAAAACCTACGGCATAGAGCAAATGGGGGAAATCGAGGTGAAGAAATAATGAAAGTCCCGCAGACGTGATTAGCACGTCTGAATATACCTCCTTTCGTTTCTCTGCCGCAGGCCTCCCATGGATATTCCGTAAGGTAGATCACGATATGATCTAAAGAGAGGAATTGTAGGATATGTATATCCATTTTGCTCAATATCCTAGCTGTTCATATAAGGGTTAATTTGACCCAAGAATAAATTTGGAATTGTATCTCCAATTCTCAGAAATAAAACTTATCTATTTACGGGAAATGTTATTGGAACATGATTTTGTTATGTTCCTGGAAAAGGATATTTACATGACATGACATGATAAGGATTCTGGATATTTACATGACATGACATGACATGATAAGGATTCTGGAATGTCCTTGTTAATTGTCCAAGATTTCGGTATTTGTAATCATCTGGGTTTTATCCAATATGCATACATTATGTAACATCGAATTATAACTAAAAACAACTTGTGAAAAATAAACTATGTCACAATGCTCAATGACCCCCACCGACATGAAAATGGGGTATAAATATAACTGACATATCAATTAAAATTTGAATTGGTTATAGAACACATCTCTTGTCTTCTTGACTGATTCCCAGGATCCTGTCTTATAAAGAGGGTGTAGCTCCGGCAAAATATCCATCTTATCCCCTACAGTTCTCATGTCTGACCCTGAGGATCTAGATTCTTGGTTCTTCAGTCCTGAGGTACACATACTGTGATGGACCGCCTGCCACCCAACTGGGTGCCTCCATCGAACGATGCTCCTAGTGCTCGCCAAGGACCATGAGCACCGCACTCGACACCATAACCACGACAAACCCCATAAACTGTCACAGCTTGGTTGGGGTTTCACCGTCTTCCACCCACACTGGACCCAAGACTGGGCTCCAGCTTCCAGTAGATGAACCTCCTTAGTCCAGAGAGCGAAGCAGGAACAGGAATAGCTCTTACAAGAGCAATCCCTAGAGTGTAGTTCTCCAATCCCCCAAACATGAGCAAAGACTTCATGAAGGGTAGAACAGGTCTGTTTAATGCAAGCCAGCACTCATAATTTGTACAATTCCTCAGGCCAGTGGCACACCCACTGGGCCTGATGGAACACAGGCACACAAA